TACTATTTTTTCTTCAATATTTCTCTTCAGTTTTCCACATTCAATTTAATCACTTTAATCACTGCACTTGCCGGACTTCTCTACGCTCACTGGTATCACTGTAGTCACTAACCTTACACTGTCGACATATAACAATGACTAACGATTTCAAAATCATCCAATGTCGTGATTTCAAAATCAACCAATCACGTGATTTCAAAAATCAACCAATCGATAACAAAATTTAATAATGTACCTAATTGGAATACAACGAGCGTTCTCATTGGTTATAAGAAATTGTATATATGCTTTAGCTGTTTGTCAAAAAAATTCTCGCTTACCGGAATATATCGTTGTACTTCTAATGCTAAATTACAATACTGATGTGCAGCACCACGATATTTTCCACTGAAATGGCAGTGATCTCTACATTTCTCGCTACGATTCTTAAATCGTACATTACATAAATAACACTCCGTTGCATTTTCAAACCCTTCTTCTTCTTCTTCTTCACTTAGAGGAATCATTTCTTTTTTATTGATGTAAATTTTATTTAAATTTTCAGCGATTGCATACAAGCGATCTACGAACCAAGAAATGCAATCTTCACCTCGATATAACAAAAAATCATCTAAGGACTCATCGTATGCACATTTTAAAAATAATGCAATACTATATGGCTTATGGCAATGTACTTTTACTGTTGATGAAGAAGAAGGGGGGGATGATGAATCAGATGAAACATTCGTTAAAATACATTCAGTATCACAATATATCACAAAAGGATGTTTAATTTGTTGTTCGAATTTAGTAAGTTTTAATGTTTTCTCTTTAGGGAAAGAATAGCTACATGGTTTGAACATGATACAATCACGTTCATGATTTTCCAATCGCTCGATTGTATGAAAATAACTTCTATGGCATACATGAATACGTCCTTTATGTTTTGATAAACTGCTAGAAATTAATTTAGAAAGATTTGTTATTGCAGCGAAATGAAATGAAGATTTCCTCTTAATACTTAGCATGAGAAGATTAACATGACGTGGTGCATTAATTTTCGAAATATATAATGGTACATATATAGGTTTTTCATCATCATCATTATTCCCCCCCGCTGTATTTACCCATTCTTTTGCATACTGAGCGCTATAGACATTTACAGAAATAGTATTTAATTTTTCAAATCGAGGAATATCTGATAGCGTTATAGGTAAGCATAACCCTTCCATTTTCAAAACATTCTACCATGGAGTATATGAAGAAATTCTATTGGAATGTGATTTTGGTCTTTCAAGGCAAGCAACAACTGCTAAAGGAAAGCAATCTGATCGAGGTGTGTCAACATTCACCATACCTTTTGTTCGACTAATTGCTTTAGGGATTCTTTCACATGCATCCCCTCCTCTCATACCTGTATACTGATTAATAGAAATAGTTAGATTTAATACAGATTCAAGTGTCCATCCCGAATCACGCATTTCCAAATTTTCGAATCTTTCTTGTAATTTTTCGATAACATTTTCTTCATACCACCTAAATATATCATCACTATGAAGTAAAATTTTAAATATTGTAGTTAAATGAAAATCTGACTTTGCATCTGGAGCTACAGTTTGAAAGAAGCGAGCATGAGCTGAAACTCTAACCTTTAATGCACCACGTCTATTCAACTCGCGAGTAACATATTTTTTGAAATATGCATAGCTCTCATGCAAAAAGTCATTGAAAAAATATATTTTTTCCTGATCTATTGGTGTAATTTCAGCTGTGCATACACGATTTCGAAAATATGTATCTTTCCACCTCCATTGTAAATCGCATTGTGTAATGCGAAAAACTGATGGTAGAGTAAGATCCAATTGAAATAAGCTTGCTATGCCATCTCCAATCTCTTCATTATTTTCAATAATAATCGCATCGAGTGTAAAATCATATACTGATAAGTATAATGGTTTAGGTGCATTAGTTACAGCATCTGTTAATGTTATTATAAATTCTTCTAAGAAATTTAAGTTTTCTAAGGGATATTCTATATTCATATTAGATGTGAAAATACTCAACTTTCAAGAAGATAATGAAGCTGCTTTTCCTCTTCTTTTAACAGAAATATTCTATATTTATATTAGTTATACTTTTTAAGAAGAATCTTCTTCTTCAGACTTTGATGATGGTGCTTTTCGTCGTTTTTCGATGACTTCTTCCCACCTGAGAATGTGTAAATCAAACAATTAATTCATTATATTTTCAAAATATTAATAACATCATTAATTATTTAATTAATTAATACTTACTTATTATTCTTTAACTCTTGAATTATATTCACATCATCCTCATCATCGGTAATTACATCTCTTTTCTCTCTTTTCTTGCTCTTCTTCGCCTCCTTCTCCTCATCAGAGTCATCCGTATCTTTTTTCTTTCTCCCCTTCTCATCTTTGTCTTCTAGATCTTTCTCTAAATTCCTTCTCACTTTCTCTCTCTTCCTCCTTTTCTTTTCCTCCTCATCAGATTCTTCTGAACCTGAAGCACTTCTTCTACACCTTCTTTTCTTTTTATGTAACTCTCCGATGGTGACTATAAATTCACTTCCTTTCTTTCCTTTATACGAAACGTAGTAGCCGTTTTTGAATTGAGGAAGATCTTCGTCATCGAGAGCGGAAATTTTTTTTGGTAACCACACCTATTAATATAAATATAATATTAATAAAAGTAATATGCTTATATATAATACATCTTAAATATATATTAATTACATACCTTTCGATGAGATCCCTTTTTCTCTATATCAATCACCTCAGCTATCTACGCTCGCCCATATTTCGTCTCCGTGCTTTCAACTTTTTTATTGGATATTTCTCAAACTCAGTTAAATTACTCACACTTTCAGCCGAAACACACCTCTGCGCAATCTTTTTGAGAAGGCTCATCTTATAAAGCGTTTGCACTCTCTAGATGTAAAAGCATCTTCCCACATCTTTTTATATGTATAGAATTCCCCCTCCACCATTTATTCCTTATACTCACACAAAAAGCAGTCCACACAAAAAGCGGTTCCATCTGAGAATTGACTTCCTCTTTAAAAAAATCTAGTACAATTAGCGAGTTCAATCCTCTTGTATTGTGGGTTCATTCGTCTTATAAAACAGCTAAACATAAACATGTTATTCTGAGAATTGACTTCCTCTTAAAAAAATATAGTACAATTAGTGAGTTCAATCCCTTTGTATTATGAGTTCATTCATCCTATAAAACAGCTAAACATAAACATGTTATTATCTAAAATATTCATAACACTATAAACGCTAACTCATTACACGGAAACATATGTGTCAGTTCATTCATCTCATGTTTATCTTCCTACTATAAGTTGTCATAACACGTCAGATGACGATGCGCATTATGTTTGTTTGATTATTTCTTCAGAGCTCACGTGGTGGATGTGAAAGTTGTGGGAGGGGAGGTGGAGTGCTCAGGCAACCGAACTGCTTTTTGGCGGTTTATCCTTCAGAGCACACGTGGCGGATGTTTTTAATGATACCAGGTGTGAAGGTTGTGGGAGGGGAGGTGGGGTGATCACGCAATAGAACTGCTTTTTACCAGTTTTCTTCCTTGTTTACTTCCATCGAGGTCAAAGGTTATCTGGGGAGGGATTATCAAAGGTCAGATTGGCCTAGCTCCCTCTTTGCTTCCCTACTGGTGGCGTATGTGTGTGTGTGGCTCACCAGCGTCGGCAACCGTAGCAGTCTCGCTTGGCGGGTGGCGATCCGTCGATGTGCCTGCGGCCCTTGTAATGTTCCAGACAGGGTAGAAGTTCGTGAATTGATGACAGCTGTTGAATGTGAAGAGGTAGGCGAATGTAGACGTGAGGGACCTCTCTCGCCGCCCAATGTGTCAGGAACGTGACGGGAAGATGAGCTAGACTGTCGTCATCCAGGTGACTGAGAGAGCCAGCACTGTCGCGAAGGCGTTGCAGAGCCCGCTCAATATTGTCTGCGGTTCTAGGAAGGTGGTCTCCCATCACAGACACACACACTCAAACACTGCGTGCGTTGGTGGGGGTCAGGCAGCTTGTGGGGGGGAGTGAATAAGAATAGGTATGACATCATCCTGGAAGAGCTCCAAAATATTTGTCCGCTACCAAAGCACATTGTAGTGATGTCGCCATCCAGTGGAAGAGCCCCAATACGTGTTGTACGCCGATAGCTTCAACGTTGATGTGAAGGGTATTTGTAAAGAGCTTGTAGAGCTTGCGGTGCGCGTCCACACATTTTTTGAGAGGTGGGCAGCCGTACACGTCCAAGTCCTCCACGCTACAGTCTACATACTCTCGCAACCACTTACGCTTTTGAGTTCCTTTAACGTAAATTTTGGAGACACCCTCAAAAGCCTGGCGAATCACGTCACGTCTCTCCCAGTATGGTTAAGTGCTCATCGTCTTCCGGATCGCGCGGGATTCGCAGCACCGTCAACAATTTTATGATAAATTGTCCGCTTCTGAAAAATCCCTGAAGGTCAGCAATGACAGTTGTGGAATATGAACAACCGTCTGCCACTCCAAACGGGTGACGTCGCCGGCGTATAGTGTGCACATTTTGTCTAGATAGTGTGGCCAGAGGCGGCGGCGGCGGGGATGGTGGTGGCTGTGATGAAGGCTGTACTTCATCTCTACACCATGGAACTGATGAGGGTTGGGGTGGTACCCACTCGTTAATGTCTGCTTCTTTTTCGGCTTCTTTCGCTTCTTCGGTTGCGAAGAATCTCCTCACAAAAGTAGTAAATTTAAATCAAGTAAAAGCAGTATCCAAGTAGCGCAACATACTGCTACTAATGTCAAAAACAAAAACACTGTTGGGATGTGCCTCGGCGGGTGGGACCATACTGTCGTGTTGCGAGAAAGCGTGAAAGGGACAAATGTAACGCAAGACTTGTTTCAAAAACACGTACATGGGCTGCGCTTCAGTGGTTGAATACAGGTAGACATTTTCAAATTTAAGACCGTTGGCTGTAGTGAGCAGTGTAATCACAACATTCGTTTTCCCGCATCCAGACGGTCCCACGATAAGTGCGCGAACACTATCTGGAAGGGCACCGTGTCGACTGTTGGTACTACTATCATCTCTTCCTCCTTTTCACAATTCCACTACGTTCACGACGGGTAACTTGGCGGGATGTTGAATAATGTCTGCAACTGTTCCACACATGGAAAAGAACCATTTTATTGAAGAAAAAAAACCTTTGGAAAAAGTGGGTGGGTGTTCAAAATAAACAATATTAATTGTAAAATGAATTTATTGATTAATGTTTAGAAGGTATACATTGCATCTGACATGTACTTTTCAGTACCACTATTATTGTTATTATCATTGCACAAAGTAACAACAGCCCTCGCTAACCATTCCGCAGCGTTTCTGGCACACCGTGTAACGTTCACAGCACATCCCCCAGCTTCCGCAGCCGGAGATGCATCCCCGGTGAGAGACTGCTGCTGCTGCTGCATTCGTCCTCGTACACGTTGTTTGTCCGTAGGTTTGCGTTTCAGACTACTTATTCTTTTAGGTTTCGTTTTACAATGTAAATCACATTGTGTCGTACATTCCGACCCCTTTTGCTTATTCTTTCTTCTTTTGCGTCTGGTCTTTTCTCCCTCTTCTTCTTCCCCACCACTAAAATGAAAAACACTCGAGGGGGGCTGTTCTACCCCATCCATGTCACTACCATCAGGACTAGGAGGGGGAGGAGTAGAAACTGGCGGCGGCGGCGGCGGCCGCTCCTGTAGCTGTTGCTCTCCTACTTCACTCATTGTTATATATCTCTCTCTCTCTGGTGTGGTTGAGACGTAAAGAAGAAATGACGATTGATGCGATTCGAGACTGTTTTATACATGAGTTACGATATCTGTTAACGGTTGGTAAGCGAACTCCTGTTGATGTAAAATGAGACAATAGGCCGAGGTATTCTTAGGAATGACGTGATCGGGTAAAGTTTCCATCACGATTTTGATGTTAACAGTGGAACTGATTGTCGGTTCCGGCATCTCCGTCAAATCGAAACAAAGTATTTCACAACCACTAGAGAGTCCATTGGCCGGGAATGGTTGATATGGGATCTCGGTTACAAAATCTTTTCTCAAAATTTGATAGCATGTCAACCAACTGAACCGTCCTGTAGGTAGAGGGCGACACATGGAATATCCGTATAAATTATTTGAATCAACAAATGAGAGATAAGAATCCTTATCAGAAGGTTGATAAGAGTCCCCAAGGTCTAGATGATTGGCCTGAGCGTGGCGGTCCGACACTTGAACAAGACCGCCGCGAATTCCCCGCTCGAAAAAGAGAACCATGTCAATGTCTGTTAACAATTCGAGTTCAATGCCAGTTGTTTTCAACATGGCATCCCACGAAAGTCCAGGAGCAGTGTAATAGAAAGCCGGATCTAGACCGTAGACCGTAAGACATAAATATCGAAAAAGTTCAAAAACGTCCACGTGAAGCGCGACATCAACCTTCAAATACAGGTCGGCATTTTCCCCTACATTTTTGATATTAAATATGCGCCACACGTTCTGCGCGTGTGCATAGTCAGCTTCAGAAATGTGTGTTTTTGTGAGCTGACTGAAAAATGCACTCGCCGGCGGCAGACAAGTCTCGTCTAGTTTCGACCAATCATTTACATAATCATACGGAGAAACACCTTTCCTACAAGCCAGGGCCAATTGAGCGTCGTCTGGAAAAGCTTTGCGTGTGTATTTGAGGTCGGAAACAGAAAGTGATTTACTTAATGTATTTAGTGAGAAACCCAGAAATTTCAATCTTAAAACCGCAATTCGACTTTTCCAATTCTATGTGAAATGGCAATAAATCACTCGTGATTGTGAGGAATGGTATTGAAACAAGCGTACGAGCTATCAGCCCAAGCTTGGAGAAGAAAGTGCCAATCGTACCCGCTTCCATTATGCATCACCACGGGAATGTGTGTTGGCGCGGGAAAGTTGATATTACATTGTTGACGAGCAGCGCCGCGGAACCTCCGTGTAAAATAATCGTGATCCCGAACATGAGGATTTATTGCATTTTCCAAAAAAGGTTGATTGCAAATATGACAGTGTCGGCGGTTTGAAAAGCTATCTCATCCGCCTCCGTCATGACGGGAAGCGGACGATCTAGCAGGTACTCATAATCTTTTGCAAGGGATTCTAAAAATTCTAAAATGTTTGTAGTAGCATCGGGACCACGATGTGAGACATACCGCGAGCGTGCATCATCAAAGTCACAAACAACCTGTATACCGACAGCAAAAGGTTCATGTAATTGATAGGGCTGAAGGTAAGGATTGTTCGGCGGTGGTTGACATGAAGAAACAGAGCGTGTCAAACATTCGAAATCAACATAAACCGCAATCAGGCATCGCTTTTATCTTTCAAAATGCGTAAACTTCATGAACAGTTTGTCGCCGTGCGGTAAAGTCAAACGCGCGGGACCAACAGTACCGCAATCAATTTCATGTACTGCGAGCTGCTGTGAGGACCAAAACAAATGAAGACAACGCTCGCAAGTGTAAACCTGACCGTTATGGGCCGAGTGTTGTGACGACACTAGCCTACTCAAATTCCTAATCCAAACATAATGAGTCTGTCCCCGTGATGAATGAAACTGGAGATTGAAATGATTCTTTCTTCATTCCCGAAAAGTGTACAGGACTTATAACTCTCCACTGTTTCTCCTCAGAAGACCACACGAGTAGATACACATTGAAAGAAAAAGAGGGATTCCGTCGCTCTATACGCTTTATCATGTTAGTAGAGAGGGGCCACGTGACATCACGTAAATCAAGAGTATTTTCTAATTCCAAAAGTGTTTCTCTGTACGTACTTGTACGATTCTTTTGAAATGCCGAAATATCCCTTTGGGCATGTCGTTTGTGAAATAGACCGCAGGCGATAGCCCACAAAAAACACTTGTCATCTTGATTTCGCACATTGATACAAGCCTTACGAGCGCTGATGACACGTGGTAGAGGAATATACGACGATCCGGAATGTGCAATTGGTTCAAAAAAATTAGCCGAAACATGTAGGGCAACAATGGCCTCCAGAGACTTCCCCGAATCGCGCAAGGAAAACTCGTCAAATTTACAATTAATGGGATCGATTATTCGTGTTGTAAAAAAGTCAGAAATGTCATCACCACCCGTAAGTATGGCTGATCGAGCATTGAGGAAGATTTTTCCTCACCGATGTCACGTGTCGAGGGGTCATGTTCGAGAATGAATCGACATTCGAGCTGAACTTTTGTTTGTATTTGTTTTGTTCTGATCCATCGCAACCCCATTTTATAATAATTTCAAAAACAGTATTCAATTGAAGTTGTAATTTCTTTTTCACATCTTCAATTGGGCACAAACGACGAATTGTGTGGTCAGTAACTGACTGTAAAGGTATCTCAGCCGATATTTCTGTCACTTTTACGTCTCTTGGATAACAAATAGTTTTTGTCTGTTTAACTCTGTAGAATGGGGATATAATTTAAAATTTATTTTCTCGGCTTGTTCTCGGATTCGTAAATATTGCCGAGTAGACAAATGCGTACCCACTATTAATGCGAGTGCTTGATCTGGAGAGAGTAAAGATGGTTCTTGATGCGAACTTTCTTAATTGTGCGTCTATTTGGAGAAGCAAGTGTAAGTTCCTTTACTATATTCGCTGAAACTCTTTTTCCTTCTTTCCTTAATTTCATTTCAGTAACTGTTCCTAATTCGTCTGTGGATGAACGTAACAGCTGTTTTACTCTACCAAAAGGCTTAAGTGAACGACCAATTCCTCTACTAGCATCATCAGATTTTGAAGAGCTTGGAACAATTTTCATTAAATTTATAGGAAATTTGATGTCTTCCTGCAGCCACGAAGTGTAATTATCTATAAAGTTTTGAAAAGTACAGATATTCCAATAGATTTCTACTGAGAAATAGAGCGTACGTAGGAATCATAGTGTAAGAAATTGAAGTTCTAATAGATTAATAGAAATTTTAGCAGCTGGCTAGTAAGCAAATATAAAGTGCGAAGGAATCGGAAGTCTGAGATCTAAAGTATGAAAGTGTGAAGGAGGCAATCTGAGCGGTCTCCGCCTACTTGGTACGCGCGCTTGGTTACAAGAAGTAAATTTGTATGTATGTTTTATTTCAGTCAAGAAATCAATTAAAGCGAGAAGTGAGTAATTTTTGTTGTCTGATGTTTCGAAATATTTTTTGCACTGTTCCACAGAAGGATTGTCAGTGTCATCCGTGGAACCGAAATAAAAGCGTATTTGGTCTAGTAATTGTGCCAAACCACTTCCAATTATGCTAGTTTTAGATGTCGGAATGTTATTACATATCTGTGGATGTAATATGAATTGTTGGTTGTAGTTATTGGTTCGTTTGGATATTGCCAATGCCATGGTTCCGTTAAGTGTAGTTGATGCCTTTAGACTTACTTGTTTTGGTGTATTTGGAGGAATTAATAGGATAAGGTCTTCGTCTTCTTGTTGAGGTGAATTTGCGGATTTGTTGCACGTAGTTTGCGAATCTATTCTTCGTTTAGTGTCAATAATTTTGTGAGTTTTAGAACAAATATGTTAGACAACTATGAAAACTACAGAAGCACTCACGTTCTAAGCACTGATAGTGTATGTTGTTGTGTTCACAAATGTTTCATGGAGCAGCGTTCTCTGCTGCATACACTTTACTGTATGTTAGGAATGAGAAACGGGACTTAATTTGCCTGTTTTTACGCAATGGATATGGCATGAATTTTGTGAGTCAGTGGACGCGTAGTATTGTGAGACGAGCTTCTGCGTAGAGATTATTTGTGAATTTAAGAGCTTCAGTGAGTCGCTTAATGAAGCGAGAGGCATTTCCGGGTGTCGGGTTTTGAAGAGGAAGTGGTAGTGGTCTCAGTGGTTTGCATAGGCAAAGCTGATAGGTCGGGAAGGTCATTTTGGTCCGTATTTGCGCTTGTAGTCGTTGATGACGTGTGTAAGATCTGCGGATTGTGCTGTGAATGTAGAGTAGTATTGTTTTGTGGTGTCGGACTCTTTCGCTTCTTTTTACGCGTTTTCTGGAAGGACGGGTGATTTCTTTTGCGATGTGAGGGGATGACGGCTTGTCCGCTGATTGCTCATAGCTCGTGCTGTCCAGGCGGTTGGGGTGAAGGTGAAGCAGTCGGGTGTTGGGGGGCGACAGAACTGGAGTGCGTGATCTCTGGTATACCAATTTTCTTGATTAAATTTTGGTCGACCTACAACGATATATTCAAGTCGTTTCAACTTTTCAAATAAATAACCTCGACTAGTGTTAATATGCAAATGACGCCAATACACTTCCATACATTTAACAATTGTAATTATACATTTCTATTTGTTCCGCATATATAGCCAACTACTTTGATATAATCGGTAAAGTTCTAAGTGTGTCCACCATCTGTACAAATCTGTTTGTGCCAAACCAAACTATCCGTGAAATCATAGCACTTTTTGCAACATTAGGTTCCATGCCTTGAAGATTTAAACCTAGTAGGTCGGAAATCAGTTCAAGGCTGAGCTTTTGGAGTATAGTAATGCAAGTTCTCTGTAACAATTCGGATAAATAAGGCAGCGAGAAGCCAATTTAAGTAATAGGTCCTTCCAGATACAGAACTTCATGCTCAGACAGGCTCTATCCTGAGTTAGATCTGTACTGTCTTGCACTCGCGGCAGCTACCATTCACTATCGCGGCTTGTGGCTTATCGACAGCTTCACAATCACTTTTTTCTTAAAAGGATTAAAACTTTTTAACGGAAACTATCGCTTTGCAATAGCAATATTTATAGTGAGGTCTTGAAATATATATCTTCGGAATTTGTGTACTTTGTCTATTTTAAAATTATCAGCAAAAACTGCCAGAAGTGTTTTATTCCTCAAATATAGGTCTTGGTATATAGCCTATTATTTTGCCAATAACAATGCAATTTTTGAAGAGTTTTATCGTTCAACTTTTGGCTGTCCCGTATCATCGATATATTACTTCTTTGGCTACTTATTTTAAGAGTCGCCAATCACACAGAATTAAGACAAAAATATTTATTCGTAAGAAGTTAAAACGTTTTCATTAACAGAAGGTTACATTCATATTGTGTATGCGCATCTTCTTTAGTCTTAATTCTGTGTGATTGGTGTCAAATTAATTGCCAAAGATTAGTGTCTTGTAGTGATTTCTTCAATCATTCCAGTAACATGTTTAATAGAATAAGACGTTAATTTAGATGACTGCATTATTGATTAGAGGTTTCAAAACTATTGTAGTAACTACGTAACAATTTAATTTTTGAATTGCATTTCAGTAAAGCTAAGGATTTTTGGT